GTGTCCAGCAATCACAGTGCGAGGTTTTTTTATTTCATTATTTAATTTTATTTCAATTATTTTAAGTCTTCAATGTAAAATGGTGAATAGTTCCAGAAGTTTCAGCTGGGCGGCGCCCTGGAGCTCCCTACAGGCCGGCTGCCCCTGAACTTAACCACAACCCAGCTGAGGGAGAGACTTTGAGTCAGAATGAGCCAATTTCCACACCTCCATTGTTGAGGCTGAATACTTTCCTTTTGATAAATCCTATAGTTAGGGTTGGCATGGGTTTCCAGAGCTGTCCTTTAGTTCTGCTCCTATAGGCTTAGACTGCTGGAGGACAAACTGACCCCATTTCCTCACTCTGCTGCTGTCTTTACTTACTCTACTCTCCATGTTTGTATGTGTAATTATTTATTCCAATAACAAGTGTTTTTCTTTCTCCACCATAGAAACTACACCTGCACCATAGAAACTACACCTGAACTAGTCATTTTTTATTTGTCTCTGTCTCTTTCCTTTCATGTATGACCCCAGTGGGTTGAGGCAGATGGCTGCCCATCCTGAGTTCTGGTTCTGGTTCTGCTGGAGGTTTCTTCCTGTTTAAAAGGAGTCATTTCTTTTCACAGTCACCAAGGTGTCAAAGTCAGAGTCAGAGATCCTTTATTGTCATTCCACCTCATGTGGTTCATGTGGTGGAATGACATTATGTACACAGGGTCCCAGTTACATCCAACAATAACATGTAAATGAAAAATAATAATAACATCTAAGATATGAACTAAGAAAAACATCAACTAAAAATACACTCAGCACTAATAGCATTAAAACAATACGTCGAACAGCATCACAAATATGAGCATGAGTCTGTGTGAGCAGATGAGCATGTATGAACACAGCAACATGAAATAGATCAGCATTAACATGAAACAGATCAGCAGCAACATGAAACAGATCAGCATCAACATGAAACAGATCAGCAGCAACATGATATGGTTTTTCACAGTGATTATTCTGGTTAGAGATTCATGAGTCTAACAGCCTCAGGGTAGAAGCTGTTCCTCAGTCTAGTGGTTCTACACTTAATGCTCCTTAACCTCCTTCCTGAGGGGAGTGGGGCAAAAAGTGTGTGTGCTGGGTGAGTGGGGTCCTTCATGATGCAGGTGGTCCTCTTCCTGCACCTGGAGGTGTAGATGTCTGTGATGGTGGGGAGGCTGACTCCAACAGATTTCTGTGCAGCCTTCACCACTCTCTGCAAAGCTTTTCTTTCTGCAGCTGTGCAGCCTCCATGCCACACGTTGATGCTGGAGCACAGGATGCTCTCCACTGCACACCTGTAGAAGGAGGTGAGGACTGAGCTTCCCAGACCAGCTCGCCTCAGCCGCCTGAGGAAGTAGAGTCTCTGATGAGCTTTCTTCATCAGGCTGGTGGTGTTGTTGCTCCAGCTGAGGTTGTTGTTCATGTGTACACCCAAGTACTTGTAGCTGGAGACCACTTCCACCGCAGATCCTCTTATGTTCAGGGGGTGTAGATGTTTTTGTTCCTTCTGAAGTCCACAATCATCTCCTTTGTCTTCTTCACATTGATGTGAAGGTTATTCTCTTTGCACCAGCTCTCCAGGTGTTCCACCTCCTGCCTGTAGCTGGACTCATCATTGTTTGTGATGCATCCCACCACCGCTGTATCATCTGCAAACTTTACAATGTGACAGCCTGGATGGGTAGCTGCACAATCATACGTGAGCAGAGTAAACAGGAGGGGGCTCACCACACATCCCTGAGGAGAGCCAGTGCTGAGGGTTATGGTGGAGGAGGAGAGGTTGTGGATCCTCACTGACTGTGGTCTGTTTGTTAAGAATCTAGTACCCTGTTGCAAATGGAGGGGCTTAGTCCTAGTGTGAGTAGTTTGTCCATCAGGGTTTGGGGGATCATGGTGTTGAAGGTGGATGTGAAATCCACAAAGAGCATACGGACATAGGAGTCCTTTTTCTCCAGGTAATTGAGCGCAGTGTGGACCACAGAGGAGATGGCATCTTCTGTTGATCGGTTCTCACGGTATGCGTACTGATGAGGGTCCTCGTTGATGTTGATGGTTGTTTTGATGTGAGTCATGACCAGTTTTTCGAAGCATTTAGTGACTATCGGAGTGAGGGCCACTGGTCGATACTCATTCAGACCAGTCATTGTAGAGCTTTTTGGGACTGGGATGATGGTGGCAGTCTTCAGACAGGTGGGAACTGTCTCCAGGGTAAGTAAGGTGTTAAAGATGTCTGCCAGCACCTCACAGAGCTGATCAGCACATTCCTTCAACACTTTCCCGGGGATGTTGTCTGGGCCAGTTGCCTTGTGCAGATTAATCCTCCTGAAGGTACTCCTTACTTCTGCTGAGGTCACGCTGAGATGCTCTTCATCCGGTGCTGAGGTGAGTCTGGTGCTGGGTGGTCTGTTCGGGTCTCCAAAGCGTGCATAGAACTTGTTGAGGGCATCAGGCAGAGATGGGTCTCTGGGGCATTGTTCACTCCTTCCTTTATAATCTGTTAAATACTTAATGCCCCTCCACATGCTCCGAGGGTCTTGTGAGGTGAATTGACCCTCGATCCTCTGTGCATATGTGGCCTTGGCCCTCTTAATACCAGCAACCAGCTCTTTTCTTGTCCTACTCAGCTACTCTGAGCTTCCAGACCTGAAGGCAGTGTTCCTGGCTTCCAGCAGGGTACGCACCTCTGCATTCAGCCAAGGTTTTCTGTTTGGGTAGCTGTTAACATTTCTGATAGTGGAGACGTTGTCAGTACATGTACTAATGTAACCCAGAACTGAGGATGTGTATTGGTCCAGATCAAGCGATCCTCCATTTTCAGCAGCTTCTCTGAAAACCTGCCAGTCTGTTTGTTCAAAACAATCTCTCAGTATGGGGCCACTGTCCTGGCTCCAACATTTAACTTTCAATGTGCTTTCAACAATGTGCTGCTCAGATGGGAGTTTGTGACGAAGAGAAGATTCAACACAATCTGCTGGCTTCCTCAGGGAGTCAACCTTTACTGATTGGCATTATACAATGTATGTGAAGGTTTTTGTACAGCGTCAGATGACATTTGTTGTGAATTAGAACTATATAAATAAACAGAACTGAACTGATTTTTTTAAAAATTATTTAGACATTTTTTGTTGTTTTTGTCAGTTAGCTGTGGTTGCCATGTTGCACTGGGCTCTTTAATTGCTGACGTACATCCAGTGATTATCAAAGTTCATGCACAATCATCCAGGTACCAAATCCAATAATGCTCAGTCAGGTCATCTGGACAGTTTATTTTTTGTAGAAAGATGTTTCGCCCTCTATTTATTTAATTTATTTATTTATAAGTTCATTAATTTTTTCCAAACAAAACAATTCAATATACAATAAAAATACAATCACAAACAAAATGAAAGGCAGCAGAAAGAAGAACAACTCTTATATCTCCCCTTTTTTTACCAAAAAATTAATTCGAACAATAATAATCTTTAAATAACAAAAACAAAATAAACAACTCCTTCTCGGGCGTCAATTCATACACATCAAGCTATTTCACATTTTTTTAATAAACCAACTTCGACCATTCTCTTAAACATAGACATTGATCTGGCATTTTTCACATCACTCTCCAGATTATTCCATAATCTAATTCCCTGGATTGAGGTAGACCGTTCCTTCAGACTAGTTCAAAATTTAGGTTTCACAAAGATTTATCTTCTATCCGGAGGGCTTCATCAGTCTGAGGAGTCTGAAGTAGGGGAAACTGTTTACTTGGGACTCCTCAGACTGACGAAGCCCTCTGGATAGAGGGGAAAATGTCTTTCTACAAAAAAGAAACTGTCCAGATGACCTGACTGAGCATTATACCGTACCATTTTATTTATAGAGCACTTAAAACAGCAACAAGGCCAACCAAAGTGCTGTACAATAGAAACAAACAAGCACAGCAGACAGGAAAACATAAAATAAAAATAAAGATACAAATAGCAGTGGATAATAACTAAATGGTTAACACTGTAGACTACAGACAGGATCAAAACAAATCACACCGTGTCAAAGGCAAGGGAATAAAAATGGGTTTTCAAGTGAGACTTAAAGACTGAGAGTGTGGGAGCCTGCCGGACACGCAGTGGCAACTCATTCCATAGTCTTGGACCTGCAACAGAGAAACCCTGTCACCTCTGAACTTACGACGGGTTCCTGAAACTGAAAGAAGCATCTGGTCTGCTGACCTCAGATAACATGGTGGGACATATGGCTGCAGAAGATCAGTGAGATAAGATGGGGCAGAACTGTGATTTAAAAACATACATGAGTATTTTGAACTGGATCCGAAGGTGAATGGGTAGCCAGTACAGGGAGGCCAGAACTGGTGTAATGTGCTCTCTATGTCCTGTACCAGTTAAAAATTGGGCTGCAGCATTTTGGACCAGTTGCAGTCGTGCAATGGAGGACAGACTGATACCAAACATTGCATCCAGTGACTACTTTCACCAAGTTTTATTGAGTTTTGCTTGTAGATCTTCAGATATTTTGGTAGAAGATAGATACTTGTCCACCTTCTCCTTCAGCAGTGGGTGGCAAAGCACTTGTTTACTTGTTTACAAAACTGTACCTGGGCTGATTATGATACATCACTGTTGCCTGCAGTCGATCCGAAGGAATCCATTTCAGGCAAAAAGTTCTGCCAAGTGTAAGCAAATAGTGTAACTTAAATAATAGTTCACTTCAATTTAGTTTAGCACCAATTTATAAAAAATGTCATGCCAGGACAATAACAAAACACACAACATGTCCACTTAATCTAATGTTCAGTAGCAAATATAGCTTAGAAACCAGGATAAAGATTAGAAACAAAAGCAGGGCAAGTTTTTGTTGTTGATCAAGTTCTCAGGAAAGTGTAGGAGGACTAGAGGTGTGGCCACTCCCAGGTGGAATTCCCCTGAATTTACCTGAGTCCATCCCCCACTGCTCCAGGATAAAAGTGTTCCTGTGCAAAGGCAGGTGCATATTTGCCTACGAGACAGAGTCGAAGACAGGTTCAAACTAAAGTCACAACTGGGGGATTGTCTTTGAGCATCAAGTTCTGCATCATACTGTGGCTTGTGCTGAAATTAGGTAAACAACTTTGAGTAACTATTGAAATCAATTGTTAGTGATTTTTTGTAAAAGTAAAATATGCTTTAAATAAGTTAGAATTTTTTTTAAAAATCCACTTTTTTTCATGGACTGGTTTGTAAACAAATATCTTCTATGCCTTTCAGGGACTAGATGTCTTCGCCGTGCCTTAGCAGCATCCTGACTCACGCCAATCTCACCATGTATCCGACCGGCCTGCCGGATGTCCTGTGTCAGCAGCCTGGCAGGCTGCATGGCATCAGCGCCCAGGAGAACAGGACCTCAGCATTCAGCTACAACAGAACTGGTGAGAGGATAATTTACGATTTCTTCTTATTCCTCATAGAAACAGTTTCTCATTTTTAACTGGCAACAAAGAAATGTCGAACGTTTGCTCTTGTGTTCTTCTGTTGCAACCTATGCAGTAAACATGATCTCCTTTCAAACAAAAGTTAAGGAATCATGCGCTTGCTCTACTTTGACCTAATTTAAACACAAAGCGTTTAATGATTTACCTCAGAGTCAATGTTTAACTCGGCTCAACCATCACAGCAGACCTCCTGGGTTAGCTGTTCTTTATAGATCTGTCAGACCCCGTCTGACCTTCATACCAAGTCTTGTTCAGATACTATCACTCCATGTTGCAGACAACTAAAGACACCTTATAAATGTAATGCAAATAATTTAACAAGGTTGTGGTTTAAGTATGTTATTCAGTCAGAAAGAGATAAATGTGAATGAACTAAATCTCAGTCTTGAGCCCACATGAGGTTTTAGATTAAAGTTTAACTCCCGGCTCTCCCTCCTCAGCTCAATGGTACAGGCAGATAAGTCCTCACTGCTGGACAGCAGAACATGTTCTGGAGTGGCTCAGTGACCATGTGGAGAGCACGAAGTTTGATGCGAGCACCCTGAGTCTGGCTTACTGTGCCATGGACGGCCCCACCCTCTGCCACAAGAACCAGGAAGAGATGATTGGGATCTTTGGCCCACAGCTTGGCCCACACCTCCACCAGAGCTTACAGGAGCACAAGACCAAACATGGTAGTCAATCTATCTATCAATCTTTCGTTCTATCTGGTTATCTTTGGGTCCTTATGCTTGTTACGGTTTTCTTTTTCAGAGCTGCAGAGCCTGTCAGCTCCAGAACTGAGTGAGACCTGTCAGCTCCTGGACAACTTCTTGGACACCCTGAACAACCAGAAGTTTCCTTACCTCAGCACTGTCACTTTTGGCCAAGGTTTGTTCAGTACACAGTGTTTAGAGATCTAACATAATGGTGTAATGTGCTGATAATCCAATAATGTATACCTACTGTTTACAACAGATGAGGCTGTCAGCAAGACAGACTTTGAATACCAGGATGATTATGAGCCAGCTGATTTCACCATGGAACACATGACACCTTTCGATGACACTGAGTACCTGTCTGATTTTCAGTCCGACAGTGAATGCAGCTCCTCTGCCAACAGTGTGTATTACATATTCATCCTAATCATGTTTAACTGTATATTAAATAATTATAATAAGCATGATAATACCTTCTGTTGTGCAGGAGTTCTGTTAGCTTTTATTTGAAATGTCCCCCCCCCCTGTGTTCAGGTGGGACGTTCAGCTTTATGAGCTCACCGGAGTCTGGCAGCAGTAAATCAGACCCAGAGTTTTCATACCCTGAAATATCAAGTGAGTAAGCAGAGAAACTTGTTGTTGCAAGCTTTTCATGTACAGTCTCAATTAGTTTTGACCGTTAACTCGTTGTGTTGACAGAGGTTCACATCAAAACAGAAGAAGAAGAGTGTTGTGTGAAGCGACCCCGAGGGCGGCCTCCTAAAATCAGCCGGGAACATGGCAGCAGCTTGTATGATAATCCAAAGAAAAGCAAACACGGTACAAACAAGCAATTATTCAATAGCTATCTACGCCTTTACACAGATGAAATGTTTTATAGATCATGATTTGCATGAGTTTTGCATTTATTTTTCTAGCAACAAATACATACCTGTTTGCCCTTCATAACTGTTCTAATGCTGACATACACCTGGACACACTGAGCTGAGCTGTTCTTCACTTCCTGCAGCACCTCGCGGCACTCATCTGTGGGAGTTCATCCGGGACATTCTCGTCCATCCAGAAAAGAACCAGGGCTTGATGAAGTGGGAAGACCGGAGAGAGGGCGTGTTCAAGTTTCTCAAGTCTGAGGTCGTGGCTCAGATGTGGGGCCAGAAGAAGAAGAACAGCAGCATGACCTATGAGAAGCTCAGCCGTGCCATGAGGTGGGTTCACGCTGCAGCTAGCAGTGAAGATGTACATGCGAGAACTGCAGCTGCCGAGCTGCCTCACAGGATTTATAGAACTGCCTGAGAATCGTTAATCTTTTTAGTAAAATCAAAGGGTCAATGGGCAATAGAATGAATCATCAGCGGTGTTGTGGCTGACTGAGCATGTAGTATATTGATGACTGCCACTGAGATGTTCGAACTCTCCCCAAAACTTCTTATCGGTGCAGTACTTCATGGTGTTACACCTCTAACATGTTGTATTTGTCTGCTCGCAGGTATTACTACAAGAGGGAGATTCTGGAGCGGGTCGATGGTAGAAGACTTGTGTACAAATTTGGAAAGAACTCCAGCGGTTGGAAGGTTGAGGAGATTGGTGTGGGCATGTGAGATGTCGGTCTTTTAGTGGGTAGAAACCACAAAGCTACTCCGAGCAGAACTTCAGGAACCAGAAAAGACTGTTTTATCTGCCTGGGGAAAGAAAAGTACCTACCCCAAAGTTTAGACACAAACTTCCTCTTGGAGGAAGGTGTTGCAGAAAATGTAAGCCGTTGTGCTTGGCTCTAGTAGGTTTTATGAACCAATATAATAATGTTTTTTTTGTATTTGATCATCACTGTGGAAACAGTTTATTTAATTCTACTGAACTTCTGTAACTACTGTAATGGCTGCACACACTTTTTGTAGTTTGTTTCTTTATACTTGCAGAACTAAATTGTCATTATTATAGTGTCTACAGTTTTTTTTAAGTAATATGGGAATGATTTGCTCTTTTTCTTTATTGTTCTGTCTAAATCTAACTTTAAAATCAATTGTGTATCTAAATGTAGAATGACAAACAGTGAAGACAGGACAAAGAGAAAATAAATGTACGTGATGTTCTTTCACAACAACTGTAACAATGTACACTACATGCAGTATCTATGTGTATGACTTGTTATAAAGTGTGTTTACACAGAGTAAAAGAATAGTTGAATTACCATATCTTACAGCCAAAATGTGATTTTTTATTGTTTTAATGTGATAATTCATTTTGTATGGCTTATTTGATAACTGTATATAAGTGAGGAGTAAATCTCATCATGTAAATAGTAAATTGTTTAAACTTATATAAAATCGTTTTGACTTTATCCAGGTTTTACAATTTTTCATCCAGTGTTCAATAATTGTATATAAGTTGACTTTAATTTTTATAATAAAATATAATATGCCCTTACTCACTGGGTTTTGAATGTTTTTACACTTTATTGATTGGGACTGATTTGCACATTTTGATGGCACCACGACATATTGTTGCTGAACTTCTTGTCTTTCAGGCTCAGTTTTTAATCAAACAATCATTTAAAGTCAATTCTTCAGAGCTAAAGACCAATCGACAACAACGCATAGAAAACTGCAAAGCATCTGTTACTACACAACATCAAGAATATCACTGACTCTTTGCCGATTTGCTTTGCATGTGGCACCTGGTAGAGTCGTCGCCTCTCAGTGAGAAGGTTGCCAGATTGAATCCCAGCCAGGGATTGTTTCTGGGTGTAGTTTGTATGTTCTCTCCATGCATGGGTTTACTCCAGTTTCCGCACAAACCAGAAACATGCATATTAAGCTAATGGTAACTCTAACTACCCAGTAGAACGTTCTAGGTGAGAGTGTGTGTGGACCTGTGATGGTCTGGCGATCCGTCCAGGATGTCCTCCTTTCACACAGTGACTACTGGACATGGACACCAGGGATCCCCATGACCTGGAAAGGAAGAAACAAGTAAAGATATTGAATGGATGTATAACTAATCTTTACATTAATTACACATATATTTCTTTAATATACTAATGCTAGAACTTGACAACGTCTTTGAGCTCAGTTTTAGGAGAACCAGTGTGGCTTGTGTCCAAGTTCTGGAACAATGGATCAGACCTTGACCGTTTCAGATTTGCATGGATGATCTCTTTAATCTGTCCTCCATGTCCACTTCAGTGGAGGCAAAGTAAAAGACAAGTCCATTACCATGTCAGAGGTCACCAAGGTAGTCTAAAAGCTCCCAGGTGGCAGACTGCCAGTGGTAGACAGTATTTGTTCTGAGATGCTGAAAGTTCTGGATGTTGGGGGGCTGTCATGGTTGACACGTTTCTTCGATATCCCATGGAGAACTGTGGCAACATCTGTGGAGAAGACTAGTGGTTCCCATTTTTTAAAAAGAGGGACTGGAGAGTGTGTTTCAGCTATTGTGGGATCACACTTCTCACCCTCCACGGGAAAGTTTACTTTGGGTGTTTGAAGGGAAGCACCAACTGACTGTCCAAACTAAGATTCAGGAGGAGTGTGGCTTTTGTCCTAGCTGTGGGAGAGTGGAATAGATCTTTACCCTTGTAGAGTTGTTAAGGGGGTCATGGGAGTTATTGAATATCCAGTCTACAAGTGCTTGGTTAAGTTGGAGAAGGTTAACAACCTTGTCCTGATGCATGCTCAGTAATCCAGGTACAAAATCTAATTGAGTCAGGTCCTCTGAACAGGTTCTTCTTTGTTGAAACGTTCCGTATCAAAAAGACTTCTTCAGTCTGAGACCCTGCAACAAACAGTCTTATAAAAAACATTTTATCATGGTGGATCAACCAGTTTGCTGCTGACAGCCACAATTAGTTATTTTACATGTGAATAGCTAGTTCTGGATGCCACCTCTTATATTATACATGGCTCAGCCTCATGCTGGTTAATCAATCACTTCTTGGTCTGCTGCCTTCATACATCTCCTCCTACATGTCTCTGCGTGAGTGCAGCTACAGCGTACACTCTCAGGACATTATTACCTGCAGTGTTCCCTCAGTGAGGACTGAACTAGACAAAAGGGCTTCTCCTACTCCGCTCCTGTTTCCTGGAATATCTTGTAAAAAGATCTGAAGCTCTCGACCTTTGACCTCTCTAAGTGGCTTTAAGAATCTGTTGGACTCCTGGCGGGGTCCAATGCTGACATTTTCCTGTTTTTAGTTTTCTACATTTGTCTTATAATCTAGCTGTTTTTACTACTTTTTTTTTGCCATCTTATTTTAATTTGTTTTAAAAAATCTGTATGCCTTTTTATAACTGTCTATTGTTGTCGCTGTTGTCCATTGTTGTCATCACTCTTTGTTGAAATCAGGTCTTTCTTGTAAATGAGTCCTCGAGGCTCAAATAATAATAATAATAATAATAAGGGCAGCACGGTGGCGCAACTGGTAGAGCTGCTGCCTCTCAGCGAGCAGGTCCTTGGTTCAAACCCCAGTCCAGGGGCCTTCTGGGTGGAGTTTGCATGTTCTCGCCAGGGAGAACCCCGCCCCTCGCACAGTGATTGCTGGACATGGGCACCAGCAACCCCCGTGACCCAAATGGAATAAACGGGTAAAGATAATGGATGGATGGATAATAATAATAATAACTTCTGTTCAGTGTCCTGAGACGACTTCTGTTGTGACTTGGTGCTATATAAATAAACTGAATTGAATTGAATTGACATCAAAATTCATGCTCAATCATCCAGGTACCAAATCCAATAATGCTCCGTCAGGTCATCTGGACAGTTTATTTTTTGTAGAGACGTTTCGCCGTCTATCCCGAGGGCTTCATCAGTCTGAGGAGTCCCAAGTAAACTGTTTCCCCACCAAGCTTGATGGGGAAACGAGGGGATGTTGGAAGTGATAGCTTAAGCCTTTAATAATTTAATAGTCAATTGGTTTTACCCAAAATGTCCACACATCTGCTCATACTCATCATCATACTCTTGATCTGGTTCTGACATGACATAGAGATTAAGTACTTATTAATACATCCACAAAATCATGTTCTGTCTGACCATTTTTAATAACCTTTGACTTTACATTAACTGACTACACAGCCATTGAGAGTAAATTTCACTTTAGCAGGTGTTTAGAGGGAGGGGCCGATGGCAGAACCATACTGTATACGTCAAACTCCAGCTCTTCCCTCCACCCAAGTCTTCTCAGATGCAGCCGGGGAGTGGTGGAAATTTTTGCAGGTGGCGGGGGGCAGCTCTGAGTCCAGCCCAGCCAACAAAGCAGCCGAGTCTGCCTCACCTCTTTCCCACATCTCTGGGGGGTGGGGGGGGGGGGGGGGGGGGGGGGGAGATGGGGTGTCCTGTAGGATGCCTCACTTCTTTCTTGCGTCTCTGAGGGTAGGAGGACCTGGAGGACACCTCACCTCCTTCCCACATCTCACTCTTCATCCTCTTCTCCTGTGGGTCCCACGCCAGCTGCAGCCTCCCTGGTTTCTACACCAGCTGCAGCTCTCATCGCTGGTTTGCCTGCAGCCACAGCCTCTCCAGTGGTCTCCTCACCTGCAGCTGCTGCCTCTCCAGTGGT